GGGATGGTGGTGTTGGGTTGATGGTTGGGCTTGATGATCTTGGAAGTCTTTTCCAAGCCTAATGATTCTATGATTCAAGTTATGTCAGCAATGTATGGCAACATCTACAGAAAATCTTGCAGAGAAGAGATCAATAAAATGATGTAACAAATGCTCTACACAAGAAAGAAAATTAATAGAATGATATTTTTGTATCTATTGAAAGCTAAAAACTTCTGCTGCATAACAACAGTCAGATATGATTTTTTTCAACGAGCTTTTTTTCTCTTACTGCACTTAAACGTGTATTTTTTTAAAAGTCCTGTAGCAACTGCTTTTTAAGAAAGAATGAAGAATTCAAATAAAAGAATAAAGTCCAAAAAGAAGTAATAGAAGTGGTAGAGGCAAAATACCTTTTTTTAAAAAAAAAAAAACTAACAACTTTTCCCGTTAAACTGCTTCTGGTCGTTTGGCCATTTTCAGGAAAAATAAAAATATTTATTAGTCTCAAAGTGCATATGTAATTGTAGCATGAACTTCAGTTTTTAGAAATATTTCATCAATATGACTCTGACAGAGCATAATGCTTAAACATACATTATTTTAAGGCATGGATATTAAACTAATTGAAATCCATCATACATGGCTATTAGAAGCGCTTTATGTGTCTTTCAGACATAGAAAGAATTACTAGAAAGAATTCTGAATTACTAGAAAGAATTACTGAAATTTTACATAGTTTCAAGTAGAGCAGTAAGGATGAATTTTGTATTTAAAATGTGTGGCTACCTCTAGCTGGAAAATGTTGAAAAAGCGGTATGGTTACTGTGACAAATTTTTGACTTTATACTTTCACAACCTGCACTTTAACAAACTGAGGACTAAGGCAAGGAAGCCCCTGAAGAATATCAGAAGTCATAGGCTTTGTCCTGAGACATTGCCTTTTGCAAGAATACTTTGGCTAGAGACATGGCGGTGCTGCCGCCTCATCCTCTTCGTTCCCACGACCAGCCCCACCCCTGCCTGGGGCATGATGCAGTTTTTGGTGCTCTTTAGTCGCCAGGGGAAACTGAGATTCCAGAAGTGGTATGTCCCATTATCTGACAAATAAAAGAAGAAAATCACAAGGGAACTTGTTCAAACAGTATTACCCCGCAAACCAAAAATGTGCAGCTTTCTGGAATGGAGAGACCTGAAGACTGTCTACAAAAGATATGTAAACCTCTATTTCTGCTGTGCTATTGAAGATCAGGACAATGAACTAATATCTCTAGAAATAATTCTTTGCTATGTAGAACTTCTTGACAAGTATTTTGACAGTGCGTGTGAACTTGATATCATCCTCAATTTTGAAAAAGCCTATTTCATTCTGGATGAGTTCCTTTTAGGAGGGAAGTTCGGGAGACTTCCAAGAAAAACGTTCTCAAAGCCATTGAACAGGCAAATCTTTTACAGGAGGAAGCAGACACCCCACGTAGTGTACTTGAAGAAATTGGATTTACATAGATCTCCAATTCAGCTGATGACATCTTAGTGTTTCTTACTGTAAATGTTTACTGTTTTCATTGTAATGTTTAGCTAATGGTGTAAGATGCTGTTTGTCAGTATTACAGTTTTGCTAAGCTGCTTCATTCAGGCCTATAAGCAAAATGCTCCTTTGAAAAGGGAACAAGAAACTAAA